AAAAGTACGATGTATTAGTACAAATTAAAGCACCGCGATAGTAACTGGCATCGGCTTCGATAGGTCAGGGAGGGTTAAATGAACACATCCACAAGGGCCGTGATGAGGGTTCGAAGCTACGTCCGAGAGGATCACCATGTAGTGTAGTGCAGGGAGGGTTGCTTGAGCCTGTACGTTTGTGGCAAGGTGAAGCCGTTACATGCGGAGTGTCAAAGCGAGAGGTTGGCTGGCTACAGTGTGTGTGTGTGTGTGTGTGTTGGGGGGGGGGTTACGAGAGCAGTTCCGGAGCAAGTGGAACACCAGGAGGAATGTCTCATCGTAAGATAATGCTATGTAACAACACATTTACCGCTACACAGACAGTTGCAGGAGACGGAAGAGCCTAGTCTGAGAATGAGAGATCTATGCCTAGAGTAAACGAGTCAGTAGTGACACGGAGCCTTATTTATTTATAAATAAATAACCCCAGAAGATACCATGCATAGAAAGAAGACTTACATGTATCAGAGTATAACTTGTATATGTAAATATGTTATGTGGTTCTTGGTGCTGTTGAGTGTCCTAGTGGTTCTGGTTCTACAGGCAACTTGTTCTCCTACAAAGAACGTCGCATTTCGCTCGTATGCGTTACATAAGGGCCAAAAATTGTCGTACTAAAAAATGGGAGCGGCTGGCGAAAGTGAGGTACTGTCCCGTTTTCTGTTTTGGGTCCTCTAGTAGGTTAGGAGAGAACACTTTAAATTGACCGTTTTCTTGACGTTGGCAAACCTTAGGAGGCCGGACTGGTCCATGATGCTGGTGAGTGTCGTGTTCTTGGCCCGTGCGTCGCAGCTTGTATATTTATGTCCTTACCGTCCTAATCCACCTAAAGTGATTTCTATAAATGTCAAACCTTTGTTTGAATCCAATCCCGCGATCCAACGTGTGCCATGTTACCCGGAATTTTGTTGTATAACTCTACTTTCGAGTATCCAAACCAGTATTTACCCTGATCATTTCTGAATCTAACCTTTTATCATTTGTATGTATTGTTTCGTGTTCTACTTTGTGTTTATATATTGATCAGCTTACTATATTCCTTTTATTATACTCTTTTTATTCAAATACTGCAACTTCTTAGTCTTCGCCTAACTAGCGAATGAAAATTAGACTTTCTTAATCTCTCTTTGTAAGAGAGGCTTCTAATTCCTGGCATTAATTCTTATCCTTCTGTGAACACTTTCAAGTCAATTTTCCATCCTATAGCACGAGGAACATAACTGAACTGCATAATTTAAATGGCCTAACAAGATAAAGTTGAAGAATAATTGTTAACACTTCTAGTTATGAATTCCTGAAGCCTATTCGCCTCATTTCATACATATATAAATAAATATTTTTTCCCAAGATCCCTACTAATCTTTACTTCCAGATAATTTTCAGATTTTGATTAAGCAATTTTATTTTCCAGCTGATATCAGTTAACATTTTAATTACCTAGACTCAGTATCCTGCATTTGTCACTAGTAAATTGCATCTGCCAATCTTTCCTCCAGTCTTAAAGCCTATCTAATACCTCATGCCGCAATTTTAAGTCTTTTACTGAATTTATTTTCGGCCTATTTTTGCCTCTTTTTGCCAATTTGAAAATGTTGCCGCTCAATCCTGCTTAAATATATTATATATATATATATATATATATATATATATATATATATATATATATATATATATATATATATATATATATATATATATATATATGTGTGTGTATGTGTGTGTGTGTCGTACCTAGTAGCCAGAACGCACTTCTCAGCCTACTATGCAAGGCCCGATTTGCCTAATAAGCCAAGTTTTCCTGAATTAATATATTTTCTCTAATTTTTTTCTTATGAAATGATAAAGCTACCCATTTCATAATGTATGAGGTCAATTTTTTTTATTGTAGTTAAAATTAACGTAGATATATGACCGAACCTAACCAACCCTACCTAACCTATCTCTATAGGTTAGGTTAGGTAGCCGAAAAAGTTAGGTTAGGTTAGGTAGTTGAAAAACAATTAATTCATGAAAACTTGGCTTATTAGGCAAATCGGGCCTTGCATAGTAGGCTGAGAAGTGCGTTCTGGCTACTAGGTAGCGTCAACATAAGGAACATTCTCCGGCCATGGTCGTCCAGCAGGTTCAATGGTCCCTGCAGTTCAACTCTCAATCCTCTCCTGTGATTATCTTGACCTAACGATATATAATGGCCGCGACACTCCCCCAGGGGCCGCGACACTCCCCCAGGGGCCGCGACACCCCCCAGGGGGCCGCGACACACCCCCAGGGGGCCGCGACACCCCCCCAGGGGGCCGCGACACACCCCCAGGGGGCCGCGACACCCCCCCCCAGGGGCCGCGACACCCCACCCCAGGGGCCGCGACACACACCCCAGGGGCCACGACACACACCCTAGGGGCCACGACACCCCCCCAGGGACCGCGACACCCCCCCCAGGGGGCCGCGACACACCCCCAGGGGGCCGCGACACACACCCCCAGGGGCCGCGACACCCCAACCCAGGGGCCGCGACACACACCCCAGGGGCCACGACACACACCCTAGGGGCCACGACACCCCCCCAGGGACCGCGACACCCCCCCCCAGGGGGCCGCGACACACCCCCAGGGGGCCGCGACACACACCCCCAGGGGCCGCGACACCCCAACCCAGGGGCCGCGACACACACCCCAGGGGCCACGACACACACCCTAGGGGCCACGACACCCCCCCAGGGGACGCGACACCCCCCCAGGGGCCGTGACACACCCTCAAGGGCCGTGACACACCCCAGAGACCGCGACATACACCCCAGGGGCCATGACACACACCCCAGGGGCCGCGATACACCCTCCAAGGCCGTGACACACCTCCAGGGGCCGTGACACACCCCCAGGGGCCGCGACACACCCCCAGGGGCCGCGACACACCCCCAGGGACCGCGACACACCCCCAGGGGCCGCGACACACCCCCAGGGGCCGGGACACACCCCCAGGGGCCGCGACACACCCCCAGGGGCCGCGACACACCCCCAGGGGCCGCGACACACCCCCAGGGGCCGCGACACACCCCCAGGGGCCGCGACACACCCCAAGGGCCGTGACACACACCAGGGGCCGCGACACACACCAGGGGCCGCGACACACCCCCAGGGGCCGCGACACACCCCAGGGGCCGCGACACACCCCAGGGGCCGCAACACACCCCAGGGGCCGTGACACACCCCAAGGGCCGTGACACACCCTCAAGGGCCGTAACACACCCCAGAGACCGCGACATACACCCCAGGGGCCGTGACACACACCCCAGGGGCCACGACACACACCCCAAGGGCCGCGACACCCCCAGGGGGCGTGACACACCCCCAAGGGCCGTGATACACCCCCAAGGGCCGTGATACACCCCCAGGGGCCGCGACACCCCCCCCCCCCTCAGGGGCCACGACACACGCCCCAGGGACCGCGATACCCCCCCCCCCATGGACCAGTAAGACTCAGCGTGTGGGGACTGGTGAACTTTACCGTAATGTGAAGACAACCTACAGTTTGGATCCATACTGTGTTACCTGCAGAATGCAATGTTTAACATTATTAAACCTCGGCAGACTCAAAACATTTTCTGGGTGCAAATATGTTACATTATTTGAACAAAAAAAAATAAACATTTTTTAATTCATTTTACGGTGTCATAATTTTCAATTGGGTGACATCTATGCATATACTGTTAATTCATTCATTTGGGTCTTCAGAGTCGAACGCGGGCCTAAAAGTAAGATGTCATTCAAATAGGATACTTACAGGAAAGTTTCTCAGAAGCACCAAACTGGTGCCCGAGTGAATGGGGGGGAAAGCGCCAAGCCATTACGACTATATAGCACTGGGAATTGATCAGGATAAGGATTTGGGATGGAACGGGGAAAGGAATGGTGCCCAACCACTTAGACGGTCGGGGATTGAACGCCGACCTGCATGAAGGGAGACCATCGCTCTACCGTCCGGCCCAAGTGCTTGGTAGTACCCGAGTGAGACTTACCTTACCCGGTGCAACACCTCAGCAACAGCTGTTAGTCATTATTTTACCGAAAACAATCATGCAATCAATGCATTATTAATCTTACAACGAAACAGCCGTGGTAAATTCCATATAGGAGGTGTTGGAGGGGTCAGAGAGACCCATGACTAGTGGTGCAGATGATGAGGGCCGAGGGACCCATAACTAGTGGTGGAGGGGGGCGGAAAGACCCATGACTTGCGGAGGGGGTGAAGACCCCCCATGGGCTCCAAAATGCCTTATTATGATCAATAAACAAGTAGGCTACTGCCTGCCACAGCACCTGCCGCTCGCCGCCACCATTACCCAACATTTCCTCCACATCGACTTTTTTTGAGGTCTCTTGGTCCTTGGTCCGGAGTCAGCCATTGACTGGTCACCCACTTCATTACATATATATTTACCTCTAAACCATACTTGTGTCTACTTCCTAACTTAATGAGAACAAAAACATTATAAATAAGACGGCCGAAAAGTGAAACTGTGAAAAGTGATGCCTTTCCGCTCTTATAAAATATCTGCAAGCAATAATTATGCAGCAATTTGGATGTTAATAAACGACTGAAGAGAGACAGGAGCCAGGAGTGGGATGAGCTTTATCAGCGGAAGTTCACACGATAGTAACCACCACCAGCAGCGGCGCCACACTCGCTCTACAAGCACTAACACCTACCTGTCTTACCCGTCAACTCGCCCGTCTAAACAACTGCTCAAATCTACCGACATATTTTTGCCACAAAGTTAAGCAACAAAGCTGTGATCCAACTGCCTGGTAAATATCCTTAATTCGTCAGTATTACTAAGCTTCATACATCCGTTTGGGAAAACCTGAGACCGAGAAAGATGTGCTGGTGCCTGAGGTGTCGTCGGAGAAGTGGAATGCCCAATTAAAGACGACAAACTCTCAAAAATGTCAAAATTTTCTTACCTTTTCTGTCCGCGGAGTGGCTTAGTTAGCAGACGACGAGGTTTGTCTGCAAATTACACATCCAATTCTCACTGTGAAGGACTTGAGAGCACGGTGCTGAAGCGCCACAGAGAGAGAGAGTACACACCCGACTCAGCGATATACAGACACCGCCGACACCCACCCACACCCTCACACTCTGAAGTAATGCACAGATATTCACTCGCACTACAATATGGCGCGAGCTCCAGTCCGCGATCGATTCGGTCCGTTCCGCCGGTCCCGTTTTCTTTTACAAATCTTGTTTCTAGAAAATTATTCCAGATATTTATTTTTGGCATTCGTTTGCGTATCGATAATAATAAGCGGTGCAAGAAATTTTGTTTTCATAATTGATGTGCTTTTGGACTGTTTTAAAGTGATCTTTTATGTTTTATACCGAAATACTCTTAAAACATATCTTTATATCTGGCAACTCGCTGCCGGTTCATTCCGGATTTCGCTGTTCATGCTCAACTTGCCGCTTTTCAAGCAACTTACTCAACTATGTCACGTGATGATGAATACTAATATTCTGGTCTCCTACTTTGCTAATTTTTAATATAAATAAACTCTTTTGGCACCTTAAGCGCCACCCTATTTGACCCCGCACCTGTCACTGTACAAATGTTGCTGTCTTCGTTAGAAATTATGAAACAATTTCGCTCTTACATACACCAATACGCATTTGTGCCAGAGCCATATATTTTAAATCTGAATATTTGTTCTGAATATTCAAGTAAACAAGCTGGTGATACCGAAATAAACAATATATCATAGTTGATTATTAATATGCTGCAAGTCGTCGTTGAAACAGATTGTTTTTAGGCAACAAAGCTGGGAAACTGGGTTAGTAGTAGTAACAAGAGCCGCCCGCGCTGCTGCTCCACTGGCCCAGCCCTTCACATCTGCCACACTGATGTTCACAAGTGTTCTCTACAGCTGTGAACCTCGCTAGTGCTCCACATCTGACGGCACTCCAGAAACTGTAGTTATTTCACACACACACACACACACTACGGGAATTAAACCTCATATAACTGGAAGACAGAAGAATTAGAGGGGGACATGATCACCACATACAACATTCTCAGAGGAATTGATAGGGTAGATAAAGAAAGACTATTTAACACAAGGGGCACACGCACTAGGGGGACACAGGTGGAAACTGAGTGCCCAAATGAGCCATAGAGATATTAGAAAGAATTGTTTCAATGTTAGAGTAGTAGACAAATGGAATGCATTAGGAAGTGATGAGGTGGAGGAAGACTCCATACACAGCTTCAAGTGTAGATATGATAGAGCCCAGTAGGCTCAGGAACCTGTACATTAGTTGACTGACTGTAGAGAGGCGGGACCGAAGAGCCAGAGCTCATCCCCCGCAAGCACAACTAGGTAAGTACACACACACTGGGGGGTCAGGTAGCTTAGCAGCCAGCGCGCAGTACTCGTAATTCTGTGGCCCGGGTTCCATTCTCGGACCAGGCAGAAACAAATGAGCAAAGTTTTTTTCATCCCGAATGCCCCTGTTATCTAGCAGTAAATAGGTATCTGGGAGTTAGACAGCTGTTACGGAGCTGCTTCCTGGGTGTGTGTGTGTGTGTGTGTGTCTGGAAAAAAAATAGTTAGTTGTTAGTAATAGATGATTGACAGTTGAGAGGCGGGACCAAAGAGCAAAGCTCAACCCCCGCAAGCACAACTAGGTGATTACACAGAAAAATAAGTCGGGAATCATTGCATTAGACAACCAGCAGCTGCAGGCACAAGTAGCGGAGTACAAATAGGTGAGTTCACTACACACCCAAATCCTCTTCCTCAACCTTTTACTGGTAATTATACTCCCTATACCCACAAAGTCAATGCGTTATTAATTTTCGAAAAACGGCGCTCAAAACCTGATGATGGACCCTACAGACACATCTAGAAGCGGAATCCACTTTTACACCCCATCCCTTCCCCTAAACCAACTTCCCCTCCCTACACAAACTTCTGATATACAAACTAACCATTACCAATTCCCCCGCCCTTTCTCCATGAACACCCTTACCTCTAAATCCCCATTCGCACACACGACTAACCCTACCTCGACCACTAACACCCCCCCCCACCTGGACCACTAGCACCCCCCCCCCACCTCGACCACTAACACCCCCCCCCCCCCCACCTCCTGTAAGGCCTCACGTCCCACGTAATATTTCCCGCCTGTCAGATATTTCATTTTTCACCTGAAGCCTCACATCTTGTCTTGTAAGATTTACCGTGTAGCATTAGTGCAGCTTATTGACGCTGCATCCTTCTCCCTGACCTGGAGCCTCTCCGACCTGGAGCCTCTCCGACCTCGAGCCTCTACGACCTGGAGCCTCTCCGTCCTCGAGCCTCTACGACCTGGAGCCTCTACGACCTGGAGCCTCTACGACCTGGAGCCTCTACGACCTGGAGCCTCTCCGTCCTCGAGCCTCTACGACCTGGAGCCTCTACGACCTGGAGCCTCTACGACCTGGAGCCTCTACAACCTGGAGCCTCTACGACCTGGAGCCTCTACGACCTGACAGGGTATTGTAGCCTCACTGGTGCAATGTGACGTTAAATTTTGACTAATTCAGATTCATCTCCCTGTGGCAGCAGCAGCGGGGCTCGAGCCCGGGCCCCAGGCGCAGCTCTGCCATTCTAACTTACCTGGTTTAACATGGTGACATGAAAGCATTACCAATATAAGGATAACTGTTGAAAATTAAGCACAAAGGAGTAACTTATCCTGCAGTTCTTAGGTCCACAAATATGGCTACGTTACGAAAGTATAAATTATGAATTTTCAGTTGTAAGCCATTCTGTGAGTACCGAGTTTGTAGGTATGATTGAAAGGACTTAAAACGGAACTAGAGAAGAGCCACAAGAGCACAAGGTCCACAGGTCCAAGTTCAAGTTCAAGTATGTTTATTGAGACAAGAAAGAACTACATCTCAAAGGGATAGAGTAGCTTAGGCTATTTCTACCCCCCTAGACAGGTCCACAGCAAGTGCGACTTGCTATGGTAGTGGGCGCGAGCTACTAGGAAAGACTGAGGGAACTGGACAGCACTATCACAATGGAGAGGAGGAGGAGGCACAGGGGAGACTTGATAGCGACATACTAGATTTCAAAGTGAACAAACTAATAGCCAAAGAATCAGTGTTCGAGCAACACCAGAACAAGTGAACTAAGCTGAGAACTAGAAACACAAACAAGTAGCACAGTGGACTAGGTACTTGGTTCATAACCCGTGTTCAATCCCCAGACAGGACAGAAACGTTTGAGCTCGTTTTCTTTCACCTAATGCCTGACAGTAAAATAGGTACATGGAAATTAGGCAGTTATTGTAGGCTGCATCGCAGTGATGCATGTGTGCGGGAAGATACATATTATAGACAAAAATATGTGAGTCAGTACATAAAATAACCGACGGTAAGCAAGGCAATGTCCGTGAACTACAGCTCGATCCTGGAGGTAAAAACAGGTAAATACAAATAAGTAAATACACACACACATACACAGTTTTAAATGTATATTTGATAGAGCCCAATAGGCTCAAGAATCTGTACGCCGGTTGACTGACAGTTGAGAGGCGGGACCAGAGAGCTAGAGCTCAACCCCCACAAATACAACTAGGTGAGTACACACACACACACACACACATACACACACACACACACACACACATGATGTGGTGGAGGCTGACTCCAAACACAGTTTCAAATGTAGATATGATAGAGCCCAGTAGACTCAGGAATCTGTACACCAGTTGAGAGGCGGGACCAAAGAGCCAGAGCTCAACCCCCGCAAGCACAACTCGGTGAGTACAACTCGGTGTGTACACACGGATGGAACATGAACAAGGGGACACAGGTGGAAACTTAGTACCCAAATGAGCCACAGAGACGTTAGAAATTTTTTTTCAGTGTTAGAGTAGTTAACAAATGGAATGCATTAGGCAGTGATGTGGTGGAGGCTGACTCCATACACAGTTTCAAATGTAGATATGATAGAGCTCAGTAGGCTCAGGGACCTGTACACCAGTTGATTGACAGTTGAGAGGCGGGACCAAAGAGCCAGAGCTCAACCCCCGCAAACACAACTAGGTAAGTACACACATTACCTAGCAGTAAATAGGTACCTGGGAGTTAGTCAGCTGTCCCGGGCTGTTTCCTAGGGTGTGTGTGGTGTGGGAAAAAAATAATAGTAGTTAGTAAACTGTTGATTGTCAGTTGAGAGGCGGGCCGAAAGAGCAAAGCTCAACCCCCGCAAACACAACTAGGTGAATACACACACACAGTTTATAATACACTGAGTCAGTAAATTTCGACAACACACTGCCTGCTGCTGATGGAAGGTCTGCTGCCCTCAGGGGAATTGAAGCAACCAAATTGTGGTTGGTCCAGGCTGCCTTCCCATAGTCCTAACCCCACCCCCCATGCGTGACCCATCGTCCTAACCCCACCCCCCATGTGTGACTCATCGTCCTGACCCCACCCCCCATGCGTGACCCATCGTCCTGACCCCACCCCCCATGCGCGACCCATCGTCCTAACCCCACCCCCATGTGTGACTCATCGTCCTGACCCCACCCCCCATGCGTGACCCATCGTCCTAACCCCACCCCCCATGTGTGACTCATCGTCCTGACCCCACCCCCCATGCGTGACCCATCGTCCTGACCCCACCCCCATGCGTGACCCATCATCCTGACCCCACCCCCATGCGTGACCCATCTTCCTAACCCCACCCCCATGCGTGACCCCGTCGTCCTGACCCCACCCCCCATGCGTGACCCATTGTCCTGACCCCACCCCCATGTGTGATCCATCATCCTGACCCCACCCCCCCATGCGTGACCCCCTCGTCCTGACCCCACCCCCATGCGTGACCCCGTCGTCCTGACCCCACCCCCATGCGTGACCCCGTCGTCCTGACCCCACCCCCATGCGTGACCACCCTCGTCCTGACCCCACCCCCATGCGTGACCCCGTCGTCCTGACCCCGTCGTCCTGACCCCACCCCCCATGCGTGACCCCGTCGTCCTGACCCCACCCCCATGCGTGACCCCGTCGTCCTGACCCCACCCCCTATGCGTGACCCATCGTCCTGACCCCACCCCCCCATGCGTGACCCCCCTCGTCCTGACCTTACCCCCATGCGTGACCCCGTCGTCCTGACCCCGTCGTCCTGACCCCACCCCCCATGCGTGACCCCGTCGTCCTGACCCCACCC